TTGACATCATTGAGAATGTTAAGGAGACCACGCACAAGGATGCGGTCGTTGACACGACTCCCGGGGCCACCGCGCACGAGAACGCCGTCGTTGACGTTACTGAGAACGCGAAGGAGACCACGCACAAGGATGCCCTCCTTGACACGGCTCCTGGTTCGGAGGCCATCGTGCGCAAGAACCCTGTCATTGACGCTACGCAGACCACGCACAAGGATGCCGTCGTCGACATGACCCTCGGATCAGGGGCCACCGTGCGCAAGAACGCCATTGTTGACGCTACTGGGAACGCCACGTATAAGGACGCCTTTGTCGACGCTACTTCTAGATCCGAGAACGCCACGTACAAGGACACCTTTGTCGACGCTACTTCTAGATCCGAGAATGCCACGTACATAGACGCCATCGTCGACGCTACTCCTAGAATCGGGAACGCCACGCACAAAGACGCCATCGTCGATGCTACTCCCAGATCGGAGTACACCACGTGCAGGGATGCCGTATCAGAGGTGAAACTCCACAAGCAGGAGGATGGCGTAAGAGCTGAGAAGCCAAAGAATATCGTAGCTGATATTTGGGAGGCTGAGATTTGATTTGGTATGACTTCTCCAATGTATCACAGAAATCATTATGAACGTACGCTTTCGCAATTGAATGTTGATTTTCTCTATTAGCTCGTTTTTTGTAGCACGGAGACTATTGCCTCCTCCATCATCAGCATGACCGGTGCAGATGGTGATGTCGCTGATGCAGGTCATGCTCGTCCTCATCCAGCAATGGTTGGAGGTGGCGACGATGCACCCCAGTCACTGCACAAATCCAGTGCATGCACAAATGGGCCTGAATTAGTCGAGAAATTGCAATCAAGCCCCCTCCGGAGTTCCAACAGCGAGTTGATAACCGACACAGTTCTTCGAGAGCATTTGTTAAGCACAGAAGTCAAGGATCAATATAATGAGGGACGTACGATGACAATTTCTGACGTCAATTCCAAATGATGAGCCCCGGGCCATTCACCCCCAGAAGAACATCTGGATGAATGAGCTACCGAGCTCGAACAGGATCGGTGCATGCAGCCCCGTGGATGCCACGTGCAGGTGGTGTTTCTCCTTCGTGCTGACGAAACACCTGATTCGCAGGTTGCTGCATGCAAACCCCCTTTACTACGCCACCACCGCTGAGCTAAGCAGTGAACACACACTTATCATCCACATCGACCAGAGTGATCAGATGCTGCAAAGGATCACGGCAAAGTCGGGCGTGAACACGCTAAGCTCCGATGCGCTTTGCAGGTTGCGTGCGTGACGGGAGCCACACCCAACTTGGCGAACACACCGACCTCCGGGCATGCGCGCTACACAATTCTACTTATGAAGAGTACGATTGTCGACTGAAACAAGACGAGTAATCATTCCTCTTCCTCCTCCTCCTCCTCCTCCTCCCCACTATCGAGCATACGAGCGAGAACATCACCAGTCTCGTCAACAGGAGCCACGTATACAGCGAATGCCGCCTTCTCTGCGGACGTCCAGCCTTTGCCACGGTCTGAGAAAACCTCCGGACTGCGATCAAGTAGCATGTCTAGTTCCTGATCGCTGATCACGCTCGCCTTCCCTGCCGCGTTGTCGGGTACAATGCGGATCTGCTCGCCCTCGAGTTCCAGCAGCGCAGCAGCCATCTCCGGCTGGCTGCCACGGATGGCGTCTTGAATTGACCTGCGAGCATGGAAGTTTGAGGAGGAGGAGCAGGAAGATGAGTTAGAGAACGATGAGGACGACGCGCAGGATGACGAGGAGGAAGGGGAAGAACAAGAAAACGCGTCCCCCAAAGGAAAAAAGCGTGTCCGACTCAATGCCAACGGCGACTCGCGTCCAGCGGATTCGCAGCTCAAGGCGGAGAAGCAAGAGAAAACCAAGAGAAAATCCGAGGACAGACGTTGCCACGGGATGTCGATGGGTGAGCTGCTATTGTCTCCTATTAGCTGCGTGCTGACGGTTGTATGATCCTATAGCTTCATTCCAGGGTCTATCGTCCGCGTTCAGCTCAAGAATTTTGTAACCTATGATTTTGTGGAGTTCAAGCCTGGCCCCTATCTAAACATGATCTTCGGCCCTAACGGTACCGGGTAAAGCACGATAGCATGTGCGATCTGCCTTGGCTTGAACTTCCCTCCCAGCGTGAGCCACTTTATAATTCAGACGGGAGAGCCGAAATTGACTGTTGAGCGTACAGGTTTTGGGTCGCGTGTCCGAACTGAACTCTTTCGCCAAGATAGGCACGGATTCCGGATATATCGAGATCGAGCTGAAGGGCCCAAAAGGCAAAGCCAATCTTGTTATCAGACGCAGTCTGAATGCCAGGACGAAGAGCTCGACGTTCACTTTGAACGGCCAATCTGCTACGGGACGTGAGATCAACAACCGCATGGCAGAGTTGAATGTGCAAAATAAGCAACCTCTGGCAAGTCCGTCCCGGTCATGACATCTGCTGCATACGTGTGGTTAAAATGGCGATCCACTGCAGCACCTTCCTTCCTCAGGACAAAGTCTCCGAGTTCGCCCAGATGACTCCTCAGCAGCTGTTGAGGGAGACCCAATGTGCCGCGGGCAATGCCAACCTGACGGCATGGCACGATACTCTTATCAGCTCAGGTAGAGAGTTGAAGAGTATTCAAGAGGTATAAACCTCAACATCTCCGCTTCTTAAAAATCCCCGCTGATGCGCCCATTTAAGCTTCTCACAGCGGATCACGACCATCTGAAAACGATGGAGGAGCGGAACGCCAACCTCGAACGTGAGGTCAAGCGTTTTGAGGAACGTCGTCAAATTGAGCGTGACGTATGTGCTGCATTTCCGTAGCCGTGGGCAGGTCTGACGGTAAAGCAGATCGAACTGTTGGAGCTAATCCTGCCATTCAGAGAGTATGTGGAGGCCAAAGAGAGGTACGGGACATTGAAGGAGAAGCAACGCACACTCCATGAACGTGTCATGACGCTTCAGAGGAGGAATGCACCGATCTTAACATGCAAGGGGTTAGTCCATCTCTGTATGCGGCTGTCCGACTTACTCATGGCTGCATAGGACTCTTGAACGTGAGATTGAGAACTGTAGCAAACAACGGGAACAGAAGAAGACCTCGACTAGACAAAAGTTTGATTTGATTTCCCGAAAGGCACAAGATAATGAAAAGATGGTATGTGATCCTGTATAGGGCAACTTAACAATGAGTGATCCATGCGACCTTAGGAGCAAATGTCCAAGGATCTAAAGAACCAGCTAGAAAACCTCAAAACTGCAGAGAAGAATCGTCTCCGGGAAATCCACAAGCTGGTCAAGTCGATCGGCGATCATCAGCAGGAGCTCTCCAATCCACCGGAGACGGAGGACTTGAATGAAATTGAGCGAGAACGCGTGAGCATACCCTTACGTTGTCTTGACAGCTGAATGACTGTGCTGGATGATATAAATTATCTCAGAAACGTGTCTCGGCGGAGCGTGCAAACCTGAACCATGGTCTGCTCGAAGTGCAAGGGAAGCAGAAGGACAACGTCGCAGAGGAGTCCAAAATCAAAGCGACAATCGATTTGCAGTTACGGAAGTGAGTTCATCTCATTTAGACACACCAAATAGTGCGCTCATTCGTTCATATAGCTTGAAGCAGCTGGAGGATGCCTCACATAGAAAGCTCGAGGCGCTGGCAAAATGGGACCATGATTGTGCTGACGCCGTTCACTGGTTGAGGAACAATCGCCAAAAATTCAAGATGGAGGTGTTTGAGCCTCCAATGTTGTGTCTTACAGTTCCAAACAGCAATTTTGTTCATGCAGTCGAGGGGTGTTTCTCCTCCAGTGCCTTGAAGGTAGTCTCTTTTCTTTTGTGTTCGTGAGATTGAATTGATATTTTGTGCTCTCAGACGTTCATCGCGCAATGCGAAGAGGACTATTCACTGCTGAACCGGATGCTGATTGATACCTCTGATGCGATCGGTCGCCTGGCATGTATTCATACTTGGTTCAAAGTTGATGACGGCCGAGTGCCACCTCCGCCGATGACTCAAGAAGAGGTAAGAATTATTTCTGTAACATGAGCACTTCTAACGATATGATCATAGATGCATGGGCTGGGTTTTGATGGTTATGCAATCGACTACGTAGACTGTCCCGAGGGACTCAAGTGGTTCCTAAAGGTGAATTTGATGCTACATCGCACTGCAAGTTGCACCACCTCTGTAGTCTCATTGGCTAGTAGCGTCGCTCACTTCCCCGCGTAATAGGCCATCGCTCTGAATCCTCAAGGCGTCGATCCAACCCGCGCAATGGAGCTGGTATCGCGTATTGGCCCCCGTGGCGAAGGTGGTGGCGCTAGCTATATTGTTGGGACCGTCTACAACAATGTGAGCCGCTCGAAGTACGGCAAGCGCCTTCCGCAGAACACTACGAGAACCATCTCGCAAGCTAGAAATCTGGTGTCAGAAGCGAGTAAGTCATACAATAAAGCAAGTATGGCCACTGTTAATGTCATTTGGTATCGTTAGTCGACCAGAATGTGAAGCGTGGGTATGAGATGACCCTCGCTGACTCTCGGGAACAGCTTGCGGCATGCAAGCAGGCTGTGGAGACACTTGCCGAGGCAGAGGCGGCGATACGCAATGAAGATAGGAAGTTGAAGGCTGAGCTTGTTCGTTGTGTCTGAGTTATGCTTGCACGCATGCTCCTGACTTTCTTCACAGCAAACGGTTGTCGAACGGAAGGAAGCCGTGGATAAGGTGACAAAGCGATTGACGAGCTTGCAGCTTCAGATCGGTATGCAGACTGCATTATTTTCTGACTCGTTAGTGATTGTGGTTCAGACCGTGAGCAAAAACAGCTTCAGCAGCTTCATGTACAGCCTCCTGTCGACAAGCAACGAGCACAGTTAAAGACTGAGCTCGTATCGTTAGCCAGACAGCGCGCGAGTATCGTGAAGGATTATGTGGTACGGTTGACTCTCATGTTCTCTGATCTACCGATTTGACATCTCGATGAAGAAACTGGTCAAAGCTGCTATTAGAGAGCAAGAGGAGGCGACGAGGCTTGGCTTGCAACAAGCCCAGCTTGCCGCAAACAAGCAATACCTCGAAGACCTCTACAAGGAGAAGGAGGAAGAGCAACAAAGAGCCCTCGCCGAGTATCAAGAGGGTATGCATCCTTCTAAATCAGTTCGCAGTGAAACTGAGCTGACCTTGAACAGTGAACAAAAAGTACACAGAAGCCAAACAAGAGTCCAAGGCCAAGCTGGCCCTCAGCAAGGCGAAGCTTGAATCTGTCGACGATGAGCTTCGCGAACGATTCAAGGAGATAGAAGAGGTTCGTGTTCCTGTATCTACCGCGATCCATCCTCACCATCGACTCGTTACAGAGCGGAGAGTCCAGAGAGAAGAAGTCAGAGCAGATGTTAGCGGAGTTAGAAGAGAAACGTGCGCAGCTTGACATGAACCTGCATACGAATGCAGGGGTCGTCGAGCAATACCGAAGGCGCCAAGCTGAGGTGCGTCGCCATCCTGTTGGTGCAAAGGTCGACTGGAATGACGGTGAACTCCTCAGATCGAGACCCTAACCGAGACCATCGAGGAACGCGAGAGGAAGGCCGCGAGGATCGAGTGAGCTATCAAAACAGCCAGGGTGTGTCTCCGAATGATGCTCTACGTTCTTCGCACATCACTTAATTTTTCTGAGGATCACTGGCATCCTGCTCTCGAGGAGCTCATTTCCAGCATCGGCAAGAAATTCTCGGCGGCGTTCGACCGTGAGTATGCGCGATGCATCAATATCAGTCGATGCTGATGGGCACTTGCAGGCCTCGGGTGCACCGGTGAGGTTAGAATCAGCGAGCATGAAGACTATGATAAGTGGGCGATAGACATCCTCGTCAAGTTCCGCGACGAGGAGAAGCTGCAGCTTCTGACAGGGGAGTGTCAATCAGGAGGTGTACGTTCGATATGTCCCTGTTGGTGTTTCACGTTGCAACGAGCTGATCGCGCTTACTGCAGGAACGCTCGCTTACGACGATCTTGTACTTGATGAGCTTGACAGAGGAGGCTCGCGCGCCATTCTCTCTCGTCGACGAAATTAATCAGGTTCGTCGCTTCCTCGACGGGTGCTGAGAGATGATAGATTAACTCTAAATGTACTACATACAGGGTATGGATCAACGCGCCGAGCGCGCAATTCATAACTCCCTCATCGAAGTAACCTGCAAGGCTGATAGTGGGCAGTACTTCCTCATCACACCCAAGCTGCTGCCTGATCTGGACTACGCAGAGCGTATGAAGGTGCTATGCGTGAACAATGGTGAGTGGCTGCCAGATGAGACGCGGGTCGGCAACATGATGAACATGATCGAGGCATACAAACACTCCAAGGGGTCCATGTAGATTCTTGTGCAGAACTATCGAGTATTAATGCTGTAATTTATCAGTCCTGTGTACGACATGCAATGATGCTCTTAAACGACGTACGGTACATTAGGTTGTGGTCGTAATCACTGTATGTACAAGCGAAGTCCTGTCTACTGCAGTCCGAGTGACCATCTGTAACTTCCGACGTGAGCGCTTATTGTACTATTCAACTGCTCTTCACCGCATCTCGGGTTCCCACTCGCATTCAGTCCACGCCGTTGTCACACTTGTGTTTACACTTTCACCAATTATCGAAAACATTCGCTTTGCTTATTGAGATCACACTATTCTGAATGGCAACGGCGGATGCGACGACGTCCTCTGCCGCTTCAAAGGCAGAGCAAGATGCCCTCCGCGCATCCACATTCCACAGGCTTCATCCCAAGGTCTATCTGGAGCGCTTTCTGGCAGAAAAGGTCCGACCTGACGGACGTGAACTTGATGAGTGGCGAGATGTCTCGTTGAATGTAGGTCCGTGAACATGGTCCTTCTGATGCAGACTCTCATACGGATGAATTCTTGACTGTATCTTTTTTTTGGCATTTATTTCTACCCCGCGGATGAATTCTTGACTATATCTCTCAGGCTCGATTTCCATTGCGGATGGTTCTGCTCTTGTTCGCCTGGGCGATACGACCATCGTCTGTGGAGTTAAGCTTGAGATTGCAGAGCCTGAGCTGGATAGTCCTGAAGATGGTTTTCTTGGTGAGCATAGTCGATTATCCTTGAGGCCTGTTGATAGAGCTCCCTCAAAACTAGTACCTAATTTGGACCTTCCGGCTATCTGTTCCCCAAAATTCAAGCCTGGGCCTCCTACAGAGGAAGCACAGGCGCTCTCAAACAGGTTGAACGATATTTTGGTCGCGTATGTCCCATTCCATTCCCCAGGGTCGTTGCCTCTTGCTCATCTGCAGCAGCTCGGGAGTCATTTCAACTAAATCGCTTTGCATTGAGCCTGGAAAAGCGGTATGGGTGCTATATGTCGATGCAACTTGCATCAATTATGACGGAAACGCCTTCGATGCGACCCTGTTACCTATGCTGGCTGCTCTGACAAACAGTACGTCCACGAGCTGCTTGTCTTTGGCATGAAACCCCATTCGCATGCTCATGCATCTCGATAGCCACCTCGCCGAAGGCGAACTATGATCCAGAGACAGGCCGAACTGTCTGCTCGCGAAAAGAACGGATACCGCTGTCAGTCCACAGCCTGCCGGTATCAACGTCGTTCGGACTCTTTGATTCGTGCGTATACATATGCTACGCTCAGTTGTGTTGAGGTTCATTCTTTAACGTGTATTAGAACCCATGTCCTTGCAGACCCGACGTCTTTCGAGGAGCCCTTGTTAGATACCACCATCTCCGTTACTGTGGAGGAGAATGGCGGGCTGATCTCGGTCACCCAAGTAGGCCTTGGTCTTATTGGGAATCAGGATGTTCTAGCACGGTGTATCGCTGCTGCAAAAGAACGTCGGTTGGTCATAGGACGACAGGTCCTGAATACATAATCCTTCGACTTCTCAACGGATGCAATGTTAGCGTGCGACTGCCAGGGTGTCCACGAAGTGCGTGGCAGACTGAGCGTCAGTGCGACTCGTAGTCATCTGTTACCTTATTCCCCTACCTGTCATCCTCAAGCGATCAGCAAATTTGATAATCAAAGTACGTAAATTTAAAAAAATTCAGGGCTCGAGCGTCTGAATCTCAGCTCGCTTAGAATGCCTCCGTCTCTAGATAAAGCGTACCTTTGCGGTGCTGGACCCACCTCATTTCCACCATCACGTCACCTATCACTACACTCGCAGACACAACTACCATGAGCTCACAGTCAGCTAGCTCCAGTCGGCAAGTTGAGCTCAGATTGCCTGCATTGACTCGCAAGCACAGCCGAAATCTATCTGATTGTGGCAAGGAGATTGAAGAGCATGATAGTACAGGGAAACTTCGCAAGGTTAGAATTATTGCGGATGACCTGCCACACACTGTGAAACATCTCCTGTAAGCTGTGACAAGTCTTAGAGTTGGATCAGCTTTATCTCATTATTATGCAGGGGATCACCCGACGCGACGAGTGCACGAGGTTCCGCGGTCTCATCTGACAGAAAACGGAAGCGGGAGCGTCTTTCGCCTTTCAATTATGGCAAAGACGCCATCGTACGAATGCCTTCATGGGAAGCGGCAATGTTACAGCAGAAAACTCCCTCCGCTCCGCCGAAGAAGAAACGCAGAGCAGTGACACAGCCTCCACCACCACCGCTGCCACACAACACGGGAAACCTTCTCTTCAACCCGAGGGTGCGGTCTGCAATCGCGCAAAGAGAAGATGCGGCAAATCCACCGCCTTTCGACAGAACGCGAAAGTTGGGATTGATCGAAGGAGGATCGATCACGCAGAGAGCGGCAGCTACTGGCTTGAACAGTACTTTTGAGAGAGCCTACTACAAAGATGCGATTTCACGTCCGGTACGTATCTCTGCGGCCTTAACGCGTCCGAAATATCATGATCATTGTTTTGTATTAGCCGCCCTTACGCGTCGACAAAAAAGTACCGCACTGCAGTCAACGCCGTAAGTTCTGTTTCTGTTTCTTTCGTTGCTCCCAATCTGTCTGCCTGTGAATCTGTCTGGGATGGTTGCTGATGGCAAGCTGACATCTTCTGGTAACGTCGTGCAGATAAGCGGTCGAGGCTAGAATCCGCTGGTGACACTGTCAAGAATCGCGGACCCAAAAGTAGCAATGAAACCTGTAAGTCGCGTTCTCCTCATAAATGCTCGAGGACAAATACCAAAGCAATCTTCCAGCTACCCGCGATCATCGTGCAGGGCCCAGCTCTGCCAGTAGCTCCACTAAAACAGCCGTGTCGGACAAGGCGACTGGATTGCAGTGCCACGACAAAGCTGCTAACACCATTGTTGCGGCCACTAGTGCCAATACGGTCGCCCACTGCCGCAGAAAAAATGTTAGTAAGGCAGCTGAAACTCGACATATCCAGACGGAGACGCGGCATTGGAGAGAGATGAGGCATACCGGGGCGAAGTGTCTCATACAATGACGTTCTTGCAAAGCGGTTTACATTTTGTGGCGTTCTAGTACAGTGGACGGGTAGATATTTCCTCTGCTCTTCTCAAATTCACTATACATATATCTTCGTCCACCTTGACACCTTGCGCGACCATTCAGATGATTCCTTCACTGACTGCGAGCTCGGCATTGATGATGCTGCTCGTGGCCGCTCCAATGGTGACATTGTTCGCGAGGACGACGAACTTGATGTCGAGCACTTGGCACTGTCGGACGTGGCCCACAGAGATGCCCGCGCCAGCCTGGTAGTCGCAATCTAGTCTAGGTTGCGGTCTGTCCGGCTCTTCGTGCACGAAGATAGTGTGGCGCGGGGCGGAGGGACACGATGCCGTCCATGCATCGGACGTGAATGAGACGAGAGCCTCGCGCACCTGCTGTGGGCTAGGTGGCAGTCTCCGCACGAAGCGCACAGACATGCATTCAGTGTGGCCCTCGATGACAGGTACTCGATTGCACTGAGCAGAGATGCGCAAAGGATGCCGCGCGCGCATGTCGAACGATCTGACGCCATCGTCTGACTCGGAGATTCCACCGAGGATCTTGAGGGTCTCCCACTCCATCTTCTCCTCCTCACCGCCAATGTATGGAACGACGTTGTCGAGTATGTCGAAGCTGGGCACTGCATCGTGGTGATCATGCATGACTCGATGGGCCCGAACGCCCTCTCGAGAGCGGCGAGAGGGACAACGACGCCGGTGGTGGAGCAGTTGGCGTTCGTGACGATGAAGCCTTTTTGAAGAGGAGGCGAATGCAGAGCGCGCTGCTGGGGAATCATGGCAAAGTGAGATGAATGGACCAGGGGCACAACCAGAGGGACATTCGGATCCCGTCTGTGGCATTTTGCATTCGAGAAGACAGCAAACTCTGCACTGCGGAAGGCCTCCTCTACGACATGTGTTCAGCTTCGGATCCAAAATATTATCGCGAAGATCTCACCAATCGGCGATTCGGGCCCGCTACATCGGCATCCAAACCAGAGAAGATGACCTCGCACTCGGCAAAACACTCAGGTTTACACTCCTCGACCACCATGTCGCGCACTACTGATGGGATGGGCCTTGTCTGCTTCCATGTCACCGCATGAGAATATGGTTTGCCCGCAGATCTGTGGGACGCGCCTAACGCATGTAGGGCAAAGAACGGGTGCTCGGACAGGAGGGAGATAAACCGTTGGCCTATGGTGCCGGTCGCGCCCAGTACGCTGACCTTGATCTTGCGGGCATCGTGCATCGCGGAACGCGGCTACTCAGCGCTGGAAGGAGCGTTGGCGAGAGGGTCGTAGATCAAGTCTGCAATCATTGCAGCATCCCCTGTCACACAACCGCTTGCCGCTGTTTTGTCATAGATCACAGGCTTGCTGTTGAGCGCTTGTTTGCAGTAATGACCGCAACCATGTCGACTACGCCTAAGCAGGCTACACAACTCCTCTTTTCGCCAAATGTGCAGTACAACAATGCACGCCTGTACACTGTCAAGTTTCTGTCTGCGTGCCTTGCGGGTGCCGTTGCTGGCATTCTAGGCCTCGAGAACGTGCTCGGCTTTGCCTTGTTCATCTTGTCGACACTGCTCACCTCTGCGTGCCTGTATGTCAAATGCAAGGGAAAGCCGGCGAAATACATGCCCGGAGGGCTGGTGGGAGCTCGTGAACCCCGGCCAAGAAAATCTGTTCTCCTTTGTGCTCGTATGGACGTTATTTTATGGTATGGAAGCATATGTTCTGCGTCGGAGTCGGTGGTAAGCTCATCGCCGACATGTTTCAGGTATTGTGCATGGTATGCTTCCTACGCACCTCGTCCACGAGCACAACTGATTTCTGTAATGAATGGCAGTGTATGATTAAGTACTATCTCGTATCAACTCAATTCCAACAGGGAAGCGTGAGAAATCGGTGGGTTCTCTCTGCCATGAACTCCAATTTCTATCTGATATGAACTCGGCAGTATGATACCGCGGTAGGCTTCTTTGACTGCTAGCTCTGTGTGTTCGGTTTATACAGCGGTGTTGGGCCAGCTGATATCAGCTTCTCTTGCGATCTCCGGCTCCCAAGCTCGATTATGTAACATCGTCTCTATGAGAGTTTTACTTGACTTTTATGTATAATGGAGTGGCTGAATTATGAGAATTGTGAGTATTTGGGTTGCTCTCAATACCGGCGAACGCTACATGGAGGTGCTTCCACTTTGACTTTGTTCGCCTCGAGCTGTCTCATGAAACCATCGATCAAGCTGAATAATCGCATATTCGCTGGGAAGAGAAGCGTGGGTAAAAATTGCTTCTTGATGTGTTTCAGAATCATCGACTGTTCCGACTATGTGATGGCTCCATTCTCTCCCGTCCTGTGGTGAATACGAATGATGGCTTAAGCACATCGTGACGTGTGACGCAGATGAATCTGTGCTCCCGGAAGGGAAGGCATTGTTTATTGCCATGATGATACGGAGCTGGCGGAAGAATCTGCGAGCCTGCTTCGGAATGACTGACAAGCCCTGCCAGTGACACAGCGGTTCATCGATGACTACGATCTCGTTGATACAACTTCAATGATAAGGCATTCCAGGCATATTGCCGTCGAAAAACAAATTCTAGCAGCAAGAAAACGCGTTCCTCACAAGTTGTGCTCCATCATAATTAAATGCTGTGTCGCAACCTGGCGGCGTCCGAGACTAGATAGTCCGGGCGTACGTGATGATCCGATAAATCGCTCGGGGCATCAGCCTGCGACGAGTGACATGCTGTCCGTTCTGTACAGCAGATCAGAGGCCCTGTCAATAGGAGTCACAAACAGTGGATAAGTGCATTTGTAGCTGTCTATCGGGATTTATAAATTGAAAAGTCGGGGGTGCAGAGTAACTGTGAATGCTCAACATTCTAGATTCGGCCTTGCTCGTGGACGAGAGCTGAAATAGCGGCACAACATCTCACAGAGTGTTACATGTTATCAGCGATTCGAGTGAATGTCCGTGCAGCTGATTATTCACATAAAAGTGAAGCAATATTGGTACACGATTATGACTATTGATACAATGATTTGACTTCCCACTGTACTTGGTGACCAGCACCATGGACAGTCTACGCAACAACCGCCCTTAAACCAAGACCCTGATCCTTTGTATAGCACCCTTAATCCGCTGCCACGACCGCGGCAGCTTCCTCTTCTTCATCGCCAGCGATGACCATGAAACCGCCGCGCCATTTTCTGCAGCGAAGCTCGCAAAGGAGGACACGGGATCGGAGAGTTGTGGCATATCGAGCTGTAATTCGGGAATAGACGTGGAGAGCACGATGGTGACATGCTCGGGAGTGATTGGGCTGGTACTCTCGGATCGAGAGGAGCCGTTCGAGAGGCTCGGAACAAGCAAACGGATGTGCACAATTGTCGAGTCTGTGCGGCCTGCGCGGACAGGGGAAGGGATGTCGAGGAGCGGCCCGACGCCGTCGTCATCGGGTCTTGAGGAACGAGGTGCGAAGTCCGAGGGAAACGGAAGTATATGGACAAAACCGCTGGGGCAAGTGCTACAGCTGGTGGGGCGCGTCGACAGGCTGAATAGGGATGCCGGCGCAGACACAGAGCTGACGTTGACCTTGACACCAGGATCGCGGAAGGATGTGTCCACTGCGAGGATGGCCTTGTGGAGCTCGTGCAGGGTTATGCGGTACTCTGCAGGAGCGAGGATGCGGCCGAGGATGTCGGCGATGGCGGGGGAGACGGGAAGGTTGCGGAGCAAGTAGGCGTTTTCCTCGCGGATGTATCGCGCGAACCCTTTATCATTGTTCATCGAGGCAATGTGCCAAGGATTGTGGCCGGTAATCATATAGATGAGGATGATACCGAGGGACCAGATGTCCGAGACAGGGTTGAGGAATGGTCGACGCTCCGTATCGTCCCCGATGCATTCTGCAAGAAAATGCTCAAGTCAGTTTGACGCGTATGATGAGGCTGTGAATACCAACCTGGACTCATATAGTACGAGCTACCGCAGCCATGTGACATGCTAACCTTGGACCTTGTCGCAAGTCCGAAGTCGCTGAGAAAAATCTCCTCGCCGTGCTCAGAACACAAATGTTCTCTGTTTTCAGATTGCGGTGAGAGATTCCGACGTCGTGGCATGCGTGAACGGCATCGATGAGCTGAAGGAAAGCCTTCTTGACGAGCGCATCGTTTCCTTCAAATATTTTGCGCTCGGCGATGGCAGAGAACAAGTCCCCTCCTTGGCAGAAGTTGAGGACGACGAAGATATAATGCTCGTCCTCGATGACTTGATGGATTTTGATGACATGTGGGTGGGCTGACGCCTTTCGGTGTAGCAAGACCTCTCTTCTCTGGTAACGGCGGTATTCTGAGTCCTCCGTATGTCTCAGAAGACACTTGACTGCATATGTGATTGGTCGGTCTGAAGGACAGTTGAGGTCAAGTGCAGAATAGACGACACCGTAGGCGCCAGAGCCAAGCTTCTCGGTAAGGCGCAAGTGGAATACAGCAGACCTCACGCTTTCGTCCGTGAAGTCAGGCAAGATGGCGCTGAATTGAATCATGGCGAGCGCAATGTAAGAATGGGAGGGAATGAGGAAGAATGGAGAGGAGCAATGAGAATCGCGTGCAACTTATGTTGGTCGATGGGGTTCGTGGACGTGCTCGCAGGGCTATATGCTGAGCCATCGGATACGGGTAGCGGAGGACGGAAGACACGGATGGATGAGCGCATGAGGGATGCGGATATACTTCTCGGGTATAACAGCCACTGATAGGCTTGTATCCACGTTCGGCATCCTGAACAAACTAGATTACGATCGTGACTGTCCTTCGAGTAATCAGGTATGGCAGCTAAGAATAAACGCATAACCCCAGTCTCGCTTTGTCAACAGAACGAAACGTAATCACGTATCACGCGGCACTCACCGTATCAAACATCATCTTGCGGTATTGCCAGGTGGTCATGTCGCTTGAGGGTCTGCAAGAGTCTTGGCACATATTCACAGCAAGACGCATGGGTGAACTGCCGAACCCACCATCCCATGTCAATTTTCTGATGGTTCAAGACGTATGAATACTTTTCAATATAGCAACTTACGGGAGTTGCATGAAGGAGGTAATGGCGGTGACAGTTGAACGTTTCGGATTGGCCATGGCCCGCTGACTACGAGCGTCTAATAACCCCGCGCATATCTGATCTAGACGCCCAATAACCCCGGTCAACACCCTTCCCAGACTTGATAGTAATATTGAAGGACAGCTGATAGGGTTGAGGAAGTTTGAGGCTATACGCGACGAATTGTGGCCTTCAACACCTGCCATCAAACCAGACAATATGTCGACACGAGCTCTCCTTGCTGCAGTTCTCCCAATACACATCTATTCCTCGAGTTAGCGCTCTTATGCTCGCCGACGCTGGCCACACTTGATGAAATCAGAGAACAGTGTGGGGGACGCTCGCTACCCAGCGCTGCAAGCTCGATATGAGAGTGTTTTCTGTCGTCCACATGGGTGAATCAGGCCCTGCAGGACATCTTCCTCCGGAGTCTTGTCCCTTCTGGGGAAAAAACAGCCTACTGAACTCCCATCAAAGCCGACTCTGTTCACAAGATAGCAGACCAGACGAAGTCTGCTCCATTCGGCGTTGGCAATGCAGTCGTGATATATAGCTGTCACCTTTCACACGTCTCTTGAACTGTGCATCCTGCAGTGAACTTCATCGCCAAAGCGCGCAAGCTCCCTCCTGCGCCTCCGCCGAACGATGACCCCGCCTCAATCAAAGGCAACATCTCGTTGAAGAAGAAGAACCTCGTTCAGAGGATCATGGCGTGGCACATCGGGAACTATCCTGGCAGCAAGATCTTTGGGCGCTCGGAGCTCAGCGACTTGGAACTCACGGAGGTCGCTGTCAGGACCGTCGGCATGGGAGATCATACGGAACTAATGCCAGAAGATGTGCCAGTAGAGGAGCTGAGGAAGATGCCACTTGAAGTGCAGTCTGTAATGGAGATCAAGGTGAAAGAAGGTACGCGGTCTATATTGATCAAGGGTATCAAGCAACGCCACAGTAATGGTAATCGTTATAAAACGTAGAAATGCTGAACGTTCATAAGATGCTGGCTGGAGGTTGCTCAGCTCATCTGCTTGATGTGTACGTGCGCTCCCTTTCACAAGCTAGAGCGGAGCATGATGCATGGATGACAGAGGCACCTTCTCTCCTCTATTAATTCTTTCCCTCATTACCGGCATAGACGCGACGGGAGTGTCGATGGCTATGAATCTTGTATGGCACTCTGCCGCACCGCTGTAAGATGGATTTCCAGGTTGCCATCAATCATATAGGACTGACGTCCGTTGCAGTGGCACGGAGTTGAAAATAGTGGGCACTTCACTATCGCTGCGTGGAGGTATCACTGCCGCACGATCTGAGGTGATGCGTTGTTATGGTTGTTCCAGCACTGGCACCAACCTGATGGATGCTTCCTATAGGTATATGATAAGAAGACAAAGCATTTGCTGGTCTCCGCTGTGCATACAATTGCACCGTTCGCAGCACGAGCACCGAAATCATCAGACAATCAAGGGTCGGTTTCAAGATTGTGAACCTGTCGATCGTAGAAGTCGTGATATTCATTTTCAGGTCGTCTTCTCAGCTCTTCTGTGCCGGTGATGTTGTATTACTAGCCACCTATCAGACTCTATTCTGTCAGAGTGCTTAGATATTCCTGCAACTTCGACAGCGCCCGATATCGATGCGATAGTGAGTTCTTCTTCTCCGGCGTCATCTCAGCATATCTGCATAAGCATGTCAATTGTGGACTCCAGTGCTATGGCCAGATCACGAGAGACGCACGTCTGACCTGTGCCATTTGGCTCGAAGGTAGGGTCCCAACCAAACTTGCCGTCTCCGTGAGCAGTTACGATGTGGCCGTCCGTCCGGCCTTCGAACAGGATGGGCTCCGAGCCTGGGCCTGCGCTGTATGCAAATGTGCAGAGCGCCCAAGCGGCTGTGGTCGGAAAGCCGACGAGCAGTTTGTTCAAGCCTGGAGGGTGCATGCATGTATGAGGCAGACGGACTATGAGTCGACTTGTGAAGTGGACGGACCATCGTGGCCGAGCTCCTTAAGGAAGTACTTGATGTATGGCCCTGGAAGGCCGTTCAATGCTTCAAAGCACAGAGCGGTGTCCTCGGTGATGCATGGTCCTCCTAGCAGTTCAGCGGCGCGGCGGCATTTTGCGGTGGTGACTTCACGTGTCGTTCCCTGTATTTCTGGGACTATGAGTTAATAAAAGGGAAGGTGCGATGGTCAGCAATCAATCTTAATCGAAAAGATAATCAGGTGTTGTACTCGCTATCGAGGTCTTGGGAGTCAATCTCGACGCCAGACCGTGAGAGAATTGCGCGGACTTCCTTGAGCTTGCTCGTGTTGCCGGTCACGAATACTGGGTGGCGGCATCAGTGCCTGTGTTACATGCCATATGGAGAGACCTCACTGAGTTTCCTGGATGCCATCTTGACTTGGCTTGGGCAGCACGTACGATTCGAGTCAACCTGATAGTGGGCGCTTGTACCTTACAAGCGCTGGTTACCGACTTGCCCTGAACAAGGGTGGCGCGCTAACCGACGCGTCCCGCTCGTGACCTGCAATCACCGCGCGTCCCTGGTGCATCTTGAGTCTTGAGCCTCGCATGCCCGCTATGGCTCGAGAGGTAGCATCGCCTGTTAGCAACGACTCACAGAAGGAGAACTCCGGCGTACGCGTGAGGGTCAAAGCGGAGAAGATGAAGCAGAAGAAGCTGTCGAAGGGCAAGAAGCCGATGCGGCGACGCGTCAAGATAGAGGAGCAGGAGAATGAGAAGGAGCCTGAGGAGTCAGCGTTTGGGCAGAAGGACTGCTTCCGCTGGAACAATCCCTCAAGCAGGCACTCCAGGATCATCATTTTGCCACTGGTGCTCACGAGTGTCGTTCAGCGCCGGCTGCTGCGTCTCGGGATCTATCGGCCAGTCGAACAGGAAAGGATGCGAGCAGATTTTCCGGAGCTGCATGTAGCTTCATATTGTTCACCTTTTAAACTATAATCATAGGTGTCAGTCATACTACTAATCAATTTAGTGCAAACAATTGGAGATACGGGTAATTTTATACCGCCACTCTCGTCCAATCTCCTCTGCACTTTGCACTCGTTCATTCTGCTTGGCTCCATGGAGCACTCCGGATTGAGGCTTCACGGAGTACTCGTCGTCATCTTCGTCAACGCCGTAGTTCCTCCGTTTACTCCGGCGAGTCCGCGGCCGTGCTTTTGCTTTGGTTTGAACATAAAGGGGGACTTCCTCTTCCTCGTCGTTTGCGATGGCCTTGAGCGAAGCCACCTTGCCTTTGCACTCCTTCCGTTGGCTGGCTTCCAAAAGTGCACGTAGGCCGCCCTTGACGATGGCATCGTACACTTCGCGCTGGCGCTCACTCAGCGGGGCATAGAGCATGTACTCTTTTTTTTTGGCGGGAGGTTCGTTTCGACATCCGCTTTAAGCTGTCACAGTAGGAACGGCCGGAGGAGAGCATGGAGAAAATAAATGAGTTGTGAAGAGCGGGAGGCCGATAGCGTGGCCTGCGACATCGGGAGGTTGAACCTAACGAGGCAAAACATGAGATTGAAATATGCTACAAATATGACATCGTCTCACCATTCCTCAAATGCTTCCAAATCTGAAAATAAGTCTGGCAGGACGAAGTTGAGGCGAGCCCATAGTTCGCTGAGATTGTTCTATATAAGCCAATTTAGCAGAATGACACATCAGCACATGGACACGAACATGGACTCACATGCAGCGGTGTGCCCGTCAACGCCATCCTTGGTGCAGCATTGAGCTTCTTGATCTCATGCATGAGCCTACAGTCCATATTCTTGAGTCTGTGGCCCTCATCGACAACGATGAAGCCCCAGTAGTACTCCATGAGCTGTGCGCGGTCCCTTGTAATCATCTCGTATGTCGTCACTACCACTGAGAAGTTCATGCGCTGCGGTGAAGGCAGCTCATGTTTGGCCGGCTTGGAAGGAGTATACTCCCCGTCCTGCTCTCCCTTCACCTGTGGGGCTGTCCTATGGAACTTCTGAGCGGTGCTCGAGTCTTCCTCATCCTCATCCTCAGAGTCGAACTCTCCGACCTCCTGACACCTTCCAGATGGCCGGCTGCTCTTCCACTAAGTCCATCGTTAAATTGTCAGGATAAACCACTGACCATCAGGGCCGCCGGGACTACCGAAGACTCTCCGTGACCCAGATAAGTCTATTTCTCGCTCTCTGGTCAGCCAGCAGTCTTTGAGCCACTTTGATGGGGAAACATCATACCACAATAGGGCCTTGCTGGTATTTCGACACCCATATTGCCTTCCCTTGGTCCTACCGTGCCGTCGCTCTGGTCTAATGTAGTCGAGTATACTTAGGTGGTTTTCAATACCTTTCAGGAAATGGAAGCTAACCTGAGCTCTCGTCTGAGCTGTTGTGGATAGATTCTCTTGCAGAATGGAATCCTTCATCAGACATATCAGATTCTGGGCCACTGGAAGGCCCTGAAGCTATGGTTCCGATATTGCTGGACATGAAGGATGGACTACTGTGCGAAGAGCACCTTGATGAACTTGGCCTTCAATTATTTGTGCTGTCACTAACCTAGCAATCTGCGCAAACGACACTCTAGAGCTGGTACCAGTAATAGATATCGATCAAGGCTTGAGATGGTGCATGTGATGCACGAGGCTGACAGCGGTTGCTCCAAGGTCTATAAGTGGAGTTTGAACGGCGAAGCCAAGCTGTGAGAAGACTGTCTAATTAGCAAGGCAGACTTCGGAGGAAGTGAGCGTAGGCCATGAGTCTGATCTGTCAGAATGCTGCAATAACTTCACATTGCAGGACTGTCCGCGCGTGCTGCATCATACGCCGGTCGGATCTAGTGTAAGGCGGGTATAGAATTGTATGGGCTTTGAAATACCTGGCCACAGTACACGAGCCATCACGCATTACATTGCAGCAGCTGAGAGTGTCCTTGCAGCTGTGTGGGAAAAGTGGACTTTGTGAAGTACGCTTTCACCGGTTTCATGCCCATCGCGTAGGAGAGCATGAGTGATGCACACCCGTTCGAACAATCGCACTCACCCGATCACACGTATTCTCATGGCTAGGGCTTTCATGACAGAAATTCAACTTCTCAACGGGGTTTCTGAAAGAGGTGAAGGAGAGCCGAGTTGCATGTACTCTCGGTCAATTAGCACCTGTTATGTAGTCCTCATACCGTTGTATTCAAAGTGTCTCTCCCGTCCACCTCCGTGTATGAATAGCCCGCGAATTTCATCTCACGCTATGCTCAGACCATGTGGGTCGCTTATTCCAGGCAGCGTGGCCGTGCTGTGTTCCGTGCTTGTTATTGCTGAGCACCGCGCATAGAGCGACGTCAGCCCCATGGCTCTCCGCCGATCGAAGTGAACCTTGAACCTTGCGTGCGCCATACGACGAAATGTCGACGATTAGGCCAAAGCGGTCACACGCTCACATGATGAAACTGCCCACGGGCCAATTGCAAATGTTTCGCTGGATCACCGTCGCCCCCGTGCCTCGTTTTATGACGCCGCCCACCTTTCTATCCCGGGCAAGCGGACCGACACGTCAGACCGCCTCCCAATTGTGAGTCGCCTTCCTCCGCCCAGTTCGGCATCAGCGGTGCTTGGCTCCGTACCTTCTGAGTAGTATTGCACTCAGATAGGCTGAGATAAAAATAAACTGTTCCTGGATGTGATCTGCGACTGCATTGCTATCGTGTTCGAGTGGTGTGCGGATAGTACTACGACTCACCGGTATCTCCGCCATTCTGACGCTCTCCTTGTTTCTGTGCGATGGTCAATGCATCACATGGAACACGCGATAATCAGCGAATCCTCAAACGCGAGCTTGACGGTGTAGCACCGAGGTTCCAGAAAGAAGTTGACATAAACATCGATATCACCGACGTGTCTGTGTACAATTGATATATTCAGAACGATACAGGCCGAAAGATTATCTGAGAAGTGAAGTCAATGTATTGCATAAAAAGGATTCATTGAGATGATTAATCATAGCCGAGACCTACCAAGAAAAGACATAACAATAGACTCAATAATCAAGCAGACGAGAGATTTGAGCTACACAAACGTGCATGATGTTGACTGAAATCAAGAATGATTGAAAAATGTCCTATGCATTATCCGTCATGATCGCAAATAATTCCTGCTCATTGATCTCTCCGTCCTGGTCGAGGTCGAACCCGTCGGTCGTGGCTTGCCTAAATGCATAGCACGATATCAGCCACCACGTTACAGAGACGATGACGAGGGATGTACAGTTCATCATCTTCCAACCGGTCACCAATTTCCTTCGCCACCCTCCTCGGGTTTCTTAGGCTGATCTTGCCGTTGTTGTCATCATCGAAAAGCTGAAACACGTGGCGGATCTCTTCTATGGGATTATGAATCAGTATGCGCTCGCTCACTGCAGAACGGAGCAAGAATGACGCCATCGAGGGATAAATGGAGAAAAGAAATTGAATGACATTGAATGACGTGGAACGTCTTCGCGAGAAAGCATGCACTCACTGATTTTCGCAAAATCTTCGAAGTCCGTCAGTCCATGTCCCATCCTGTCATGATCTCGCAGGTTCTTCAGCACCTCCGCCTTCTCCAAGTCGAACCCTAACGCGCGCATCGCGACTTTGAGCTCGTGGTAGTCGACGCAGCCATCTTTGTCCGTGTCGAAGAGCTCGAACGCTTCTTTGATCTCCTGCTTTTGCCTGTCGGTGAGCGCAAGGACGCATGTGCGTCGCTTGGCCTTTTATGCCGCAGAAAACGAGTACATGACGGTAAAAAGAGTATTGTGGGAGGACAGGCGCTAGAGAGCGAGGACAACGCGTGATAACGCGCGACGCGTCACCACAACCTGTGACCTAGCCGCTTGTCGTGCACCGTATCTGCTTTCTGTTTCCAACTTTTCACCCACATCCGCGCGCGCTCGACAACACCATAAACCATTGGGATCGCACCTCTTTCCGTTTCCGCCACCGCTGAGACCTCCAAGCTCGCTGGCTTTGGCGTAGAGGCCAAGCGCGTCAATCCCAGCGAGCTGACCCCGGAACACTTCAAGCAGCTTCTCTACAAGTTTGGCCCGTTGCTTCTCCGCTTTCTTCAATGTGGGTGACTGACACTGTCATGCACTCAGTATGATGTCTTGCTCTTCCGCGATGCGGACCTCACGCCTGGTCAGCAGTACAGGCTTACAAAGGTCAGTCTATCTGTCTTCGCGCTTCGCACAGTACAGTGGCGGATGAACATCGGCAGGCCTTTGATCCGACATCGGAGAGTTATGGACATGGGAATAACAAGACGGAGAAAACGGCGCCATCTACAACCACGAGGGCTTCACGGAGGCGATGCTCAAGCACCCCTCGCCCACTACCTTCCACAAGACACAGGTCTCGCGCGAGGATGAGGAGAAGGGCTACACGCGCTTCTACCGCTGGCACATCGACGCGGCGCTACACGACCTGTCCCCGCCCAGGGCCCTAAGTGGATCTGTCGGTACGACGATGGCACGGGCGACGAGCAGTCTCGCTGGGTACGACGGCGTTCGTGTCTGGCAAGGTCATGTTCGATCTCCTCCCTCCGGAGCGGAAGAGCCTGGCGATGCGGAGAAAGGTCAAGTATGCGCCCCACCCATATGTGTGGATGGCTCCGACGCACGCAATTTCCACCGGGCTTGGTATTGAAACAGAAGGACTCGAGCTTGCTTTGGACCAGCTTCCTCCATGGGAAGAACCGCGGAGGAAGATACTCCCTGTTGTACGCATCAAGCATCATTCAGGTCCAGGGTGGATTGCTCAAAACCTTTTTAGGTTTGGAAGAACCCCGTTACAGGCAATCTGCACCTCGAATTGCAGCCTTGCGGAGCTGCGGAACTATTTGTCGATCCTCTTCGAGCACGCGTTAACGATCGACGAGAGTAACACGTCATGCCCAACTTACTTGTCATCCTGTAACACAGCGTCGTTTCCGCCCTCATAAGCACTGGAATGCGCGGTCCTGAAAATCAAGAGAAATTCGTCTTACCGGCTGGAACGAACACCTTATCTCGCCGGGCAATGATTTCCGCCTCGACCCCAGCTGCTCCGTCATTCTGATTCCGAGACATACTCCTCGCTGATATACCATGCTCCTCTCCCTGCTCCTGCTCCCGCTCATACAACTTGCGATGCCCGCCATACCAGTCCCGCTATACGTCTAGGCCGACCATGAAGTCAACCTCCGCCTGCCGACCGCGCACGGTCCTGCGCCGTTGCCTGTGCCCAACTCGACAAAGTCCTTCTGGATCGATTCACCCGGTGCGAACCCGCTCGCGGGGGCGGGGAGCGAGGGCCTGTTCATGGAAGACCCGGACGTGTGCATCATCGGATCGGGGACCACGGGCATGTCTGCGGCGTACCATCTGGGCAATGCGCTTGCGGCAGCAGGCGTTACGGAGCCTGTGAAGGTGGTGATACTTGAAGCGAGAGATTTCTGTCAGTGCGATCGTCAATGTCGTTGCGTGAAGCTGATGTGGTTTGCGACCAGGCTCGGGCGCCACAGGTGCGTCTGCTCAGCGGATCCATGAAAGCAGCACGTTCTGAAATGAAACAGGCCGTAACGGCGGACACCTGACCCCGCCGTCTTCGTAGACTTCAAACGGCTCGCCTCAACGTTCGGCACGGATGACGCGCTGCGCGCATTCACGCTCGAGCACCACACCGCGTCCTCGATCCTGCAGATCATCAAAGACCACAAGCTCGAGACTGCCGTCGACCTCGTCGAGGACGGCCATGTCGACCTGATGTTCATCCCGGAGGAGGTCGCGGACATGCAGGCCGACTACGATGCGGCCAAGCTCGCCGGCGTAAACCTCAGCAACGTCGAGTGGATGGACAAGGCAGAGGTGGAATCCGTGAGTATTTCTACACGTCTTACAGGGACCAGCGTGTTCATAGAATATCCAGCGACATGGCTCGTCGTACCCCGGTGTGCACATCCCCGGCCACAAGCTCTGGCCACTCAATTTCATCACACAGCTCTACAAGCTTGCCGCCGCCTCCCTCAGCCTCGCGCTCCACACGCGCACGCTCATCACGCTCATCACGCGCTCTGCCAGCCCCGCACGGCTCTGGGACCTCGCCACCGCGCGGGGCACGCTCGCCTGTTCGTAGGCCCTGCACGCGACGAACGGCTACGCGTCACACTTTCTCCCGCACCTACTTAGCCCCACAGGCATCGTCCCGACGCGCAGACAGATCATGGCGACCCGTGCGAACGCCACCACCGCGTCGCTCTTGCGCAGCTTGTTCTCCGCGAACGAGGACTTGGGGTACTGTTTGCGCCCGGTGCCCACGCCCGAGGAGAACCCGCTCGTCATCCTCGGTGGTGCCCGCGAGGTGACGCTGCTCGCGTACTAGTTTTACGTCGCGGACGACTCGGTGGTGAATCCGCGCGTCCGGAGGCGCTGAGGAAGTCCTTGCCGAGCGTGTTCCTGGGGAAATATGGGGAGGGCTGGAAGCCCGAGATGGAATGGGTGAGTCGCGGTACACTTTGACATGGCTCTGTTGCTCAAAGCTTCCACAGACTGGCATTATGGGGTACTCCGCGAGCGGAGACCCTTTCGCGAGTAGCTGAACGATCGGCTTCGAACCTCTCACTGATCCGCTACCCAGGTCGGATGCGTTGTCGATCCTGCAACGCCAGGCTCGGTAAAAACGTTCAAGGGAAAATACATTTAAGCAGGGTACACTGGACACGGCATGCCCCGAGCATTCACGTGGTGAGCAATCCTGTCTTCAGACAGTGCACTTGGAGGTTCACAGCAGCGCAATGTCTTTTGCAGTGTGGGGGCCGTTGCGCAGATGATCGCGGCAGACATCACGAAGCAGAGGTGGTCGCTTTCCAAGTGGCTTCCAAAGCACTATATCACGGCCACCTGAGAGTCGGAGGCATAGCAGGGGAGTTGCAGTCGGTGGAGAGAACAGTGAGAGAATTGTCATATTGGGACGATGGCGGAGCAGAGGACCCGCAGGAAGAGCGCAAGGCTTGGGAAGCCCTCACGGTGAGATCACGTCCTCAACTGAACAGAGATTCGCCAGGTGGAAGGCCACTTATGAAACATTCGTAGTACGAACCAGAAAAGTCCGGAAAACGGCGAAGGATCGAGGTGCGTATACAGTTAATCCTGACCGTTGACGATCATGACGGAATATCGTAATAGCGACGGCTGGCCAGAATGTCAAGAGAGGAGCGAGACGAGTATGCATCGAAACTAGAGAAACACTACATATCCGGTAGTACCTGGCATGGACAAAGTGCATCCGGCACGATCTACATCCTCGCGACTGTCTTGGAGCGTGTCGATAACGACTTACTATGGTATGCTCCCACAGTTCAGCCGACCGGGGTTTGCGTACTCATTGAATCCGTTAGGCTAGCTATTCTAGGTTTGACATACCAATACACCACCTCACGAATTTCCCGTGATGAATACGACAAGTACCAATCCATCTACTATGACGAAGTCGCTCGTCTCAACCCTCGCCCTTCTGCGTCCACCACCAACAATTATGACTTCAAGCCACAACATCCAGATGACCACTCCGCGTATGCCGCGGACGAGCTGCGCTTTATGATGTTCCGCCACTGGAACTCTACGACGCGATGTATCACTCAAATTACGTCGCGAGTAAACTTGGCATTTGGAAGGAGCGAGGGAGGAAGAGATTGACTGGCTTGTTAGTTAAGATCGGGTGCGTGAACGCGCGCATATCCTTCTTCCGTGATTATCTGTCTAGGTTGTCTAATCTATATCCGTAGATTCTCAATTCCCGAGACACAACAGCCCTACCCTCACATGGCGAAGGATCTCAAGCTCTCCTTGCGAAGCAAACTCGACCAGATTGCCCCGGAGTGCGGTCTTGCCGAATTGTCATATCCGTCCTTCACGCGCTGTCACGGCTACCGATCACAGCCGCTCTCCGCAGGCGACGCCGTAAAAGCGGTATCCGTTTTGCTGGATGTAGCTTGCGGCATCCGCATGGAGGTCGAGGTGGAAAATGCACGCAACGGGGGCGAGTGGTCCGGAGGCGGGCGGGTCTGGGATGGGGGCAAACAATGTAGACGGAGAGATGACGAGCGAGAGAACATCCCTCCCGGTGGCACTGCCAGCGTGGTAAAGACGTCGAACGCAATAGCTGCTGGAGATGAACAGGACGAGGATAGCGGCTGCGACGTGCCATGGTGGGTGAAGAACTTCTGGACCGCGTTTGATGCCCTCAACGAGTGAGCCGTCGTCCCATGCACCTGGTCGATTCCGTAATCTGACATTCTTCCTCAGCATTGTACGTCTCTGAGACGCATTGCCGCTTTCCATGGCCCTGCATCGCGCTATCATGCGTCAAGGATCGTCCATCATCGACAAGCACGACATCCGCACACTCCGCGGCCACCGCGTCGTCATCCTCTCGCAAGGTCCCGACCTCGCGCTCTTCACACATCCTGGTGTTCTCTCCCGGCTTGCGCTCTGGCTAGTCAGAACGCTGCATGACCGGCTCCAGGGCACGAACCCCGCCTTCTCACGGAGCAAGCGCAAGAGCCTGCCCCTGGTCCTGGGGTGCATGAACGAGAAGGAAGGGACGTATATCGTCGTTGGTATCATGGCAGCGCTCGAGTATGGCAATGTCCGTAAGAAGTACGTCTTGATTTCCTCTAACGTTCAGTATTTTGTGGACGATGCTGACGGGTCTACAGCGAGTTTGGCCTAGCCTTCTTAGACGCCAAAGAGCGATGCAATGCACGGACGCGACATGGGTCGTTCGACACGAGCATTCTGGAGATCAACAAGGATGATCTGAAGGTCTTCCTTGAAACCCTGTGTGAAGCTGGAGACGGGCATCGGTGAGAATGCACATAACTCCATGGATGGTTCATCTTGTTTTTCTCGTGTAACACATCGGATATCGTGATACTGTATAATCATAGTACACAATCTCGAGTTTTTGGATACTCTTGACTGGATTGTGGTATACTAATGTGAGCTGCCGCACAGGCGTGGATGGTCAATACCAGTCCATCATAATCAATACATCAACTGTAAAATCGGTCTCCTTGGCTCGAAATCACAAGATGCCCTTCGTACTCGGTACATCGTCGCCGCCTGTCCTCTCGATCGCTTGACGAATGGCGAGAACCAAAGCCTTGAAGGCGGATTCGGCACTGCGGCTAAATCAGTACATCACTGATATGCTTCTGAACCAGCATCCTACCGATGATGATCATTTTCTCCTCGTAGAACATCCACGTGAAGCGTTACACCAGCAGCTATTGAGAACGAGTAGAAGATGTGCGGGAGCATTTCCGTAGACAGATCCCCGATCTTCTCTGTTTTCAGCCCGAGATCTGTAACGCAAAACGGCCTCGAACAGATGTCGATGACCGCTCGCGATAGAGCCTGAGTCCATGAGTTCGAAACATGGGACATAGAAAGTAGCGCGGGCCGTACCTCATCTAGAGGGGCGAATCCGATTCCATATCGGCGGATGCCACGGACCTCTCCCAGAGCCTGCTTGAACGCGGTCCCTAGAGCAATAGCGCTGTCTTGTGGAGTGGTCTCCGTTCGTCAATTGAGTCCGAGAGCCCCGAGATAACCTGACACTTATCTGCACTGTGGTGGTCGTCTATCCAAAGATCACCCTTGCACTTCATGGTGAGCGACACGCCTGAGTGCTTTGCCGGCGCATGATACATCTTAGTTAACCAGTGGTTGTGTGCGCAAGACGTTCAGAGTATCATGCTACGACTTGCATGATCAAGGAATTCTATCCCGGATTTCCTGCGCTTTGCCCGAGCCAGGCTGACAGTCGAGATCAATGGCGACCTCAATCTGCGTCTCATTTGTCTTTCGCTCTAACTTCGCCGTCCTTGCCGCCATGGCGCCTGTGAAAGTGCGAAGACAAGAGTTGCCTGGCTCTTTTCTCATAACGATTCAACTGTTTTTCCTATTGGGCATGATCGGTGGGCCCTTATCGTCGATCTGTGGTAAGATCCAATCGTTGATTGGCCTGATCCACATCGCCGGCGCTACTTCACGTTAAGCATGCGCATGGGCGTTTATTTTTAACGTTTTCAACCCTAGGATACCCCGACACTACCGTACTCGAACAGAAATGGAAGTCAGTGCAGGTATACGCTCGAGCATCCTGCTATACAAATATGAACACATTGGAGGAATTGCTCTCGTGCTCTAGGATGAAGTCCTGGGCATGGAGCATAAAGGGTCCTCGCCCCTCCGTCACTACATCCATGACCTTCCAGAAGCCACATCCCTTGCCGTCATTTTGCGCACCAGCGTAGCATGTCCACCAATATTTGTCAACCATGTTTTTCCGCAGTGGATGTCCAGTTCCCTCGTCCACAGTGACATGGTTCAAGCCTTCACCATGTCCAGACGTCTCGCTTGGTTTACGATATCGGTTCTTCATATCCGGCCGGAGGATACATGGAACACCACAGTTGCACCGCAGCGTCGCCTGAGCTCTAAAATCAGGCGGATAGAAGCGGGACGTCATATTGATTCGGCAATTGGACGGAGAGGCCGTAGATCGCTGCTTGCGCTCGTCCGGGGCAGAAAAATCAGGCGGGGGCGGAAAGGGTGGGTGAAAGAGGTCTATAACACTTTGAGGGGGAACTGAGTGCTTGAATGTCTCCTGCGTGGAGGCATGCATTATAATCAGCTGAAACAGGCAGAATATAGTCAGTCTCATAATAAATCCGGTCTAAAGTACGTACTGAGTTGTGCGAAAGGGGGATGTCATACGTCCTTGCACTGCGCGTTTCCCTCTCATCGGTTGGTACAACCTCTCGTAATCAGAACGTTCTGCTGGTCCCTGTCGCGGGGAGGTTAGCAAGACTGAAGAAGGAATACTGCGAGATATTCGTCATACCTAGACTCAAACTGGCAATGGTTGCATACGGCCCAAGATACGTCAGTTGGTTAGAGTGAAAGCCAACGCTCTCCTTTGCCCCTTCGTAGCAATTCGCTGCGGCGACGTTTGCCCGCCATAGAATCTTCTCACCCGAACCTGTCTCCTTCTGCGTACCGGGCTCTCCACCCCATTCTAATGGAAATCGCTTCCGCTTACGCATCTCCCGGTTCACGACGCGCTCGATGTGCACGCAGGCTTCTTCCCTCGCAGGAAGGAACGTAGCAGGAGGTTCAGTGCGCCGACCATTATACCTGCAGGACAAGTGTTAAGCATGCTCGAGTGAGAAGGAGATTACGCACATACCAATATTGAGCAGCTTGCTGCATGTTCTCATCATCCTCTGCCTGGTTAGAGGAGCGTCTGGTGGAGAAGGACGTCCTATGAGGACTCTCCACCACGCGATCGAACAACCACTATTTGTTTCGCTGCCAATCTCGGCTTTCATGCACCATCGTGTGAAATAACCTATGAGCATTTTTGTCAGAATCTACAGACTCACAGGCCACTAAAAAGTGTGACAGCGTTTGACAAAGACGACAACAATTATGCAGTTATGCGAATTGCACCAACGTGAGCTCACGAAGATGACTCGACATCTCAGAATGCAACATTTACCATAAAAAAGATATACCAAGCGATACACACCTGCATGCAAGCTCTGGTGGAAGAATGGAAAGGTGCAGTGTACATGGAGTATGTTGTGCAACTAGTGCCGGTGTGCCTAAAATCAATGGCGGTAAGCGCGTTGTGGGCTAATTGGCGCGTTTGGAAGGAGAATGTTGCAAAAGTGTCATGAATTGTTCATTCATGACAGCACGCGCTTTGGAAGGGGATTCTGGTGATCGGTCGAGTTTTCTGACAGCGGCCGAAGAGCCGGTACTTTCTGACGTAGAAGCGTTGGGAGATGAAGCTTCACGATACGCCCTAGCGGAGAGCGAGCTTTTACGGGAAGATGAAGAGAAGTTAGTCTCATCCATGGTTGGAGAAGCGCGCGGCGCGGATGACCGAGACTTGAACGTGCTCCTCATCGCATTCGATGTATCAGTCTCAGCTCGAGACGTACCAAGCCACTCATCCAATACAGCCCTCCGCTTCCGCTTTCCATTGGTATTTTCTGAGTTCTTCCCCTTCCTGCGAGCAATCAGAGCGGCTGCTTCTTCCACATTGCCATCGCACGCCAGAAGCGCCTCCAGCAAGGCTTCTTGCTCGTATAACTTTGACTGGTCTACCAGACTCGCCAGCATGGCAAGCAGGAGGTCTGTACCCATGTTGCTATATTCAAAATTGAGGTGTAGGATACCTGAAGCCGGAGGAGACAGTCCATGCAGAGAACTTGAGATTGACGTGTGTGGCCGGGCGAACGAGACACGTTGTGACGACCGCGACCACGTGATACGCGTTATTACGGCATCTGCCTCGGGCCGCCCATCTCTCTCGCCGACCACCAAGACGTCCGCAACATGGACTCAAAGTCGCAGTCCCTGCCTGGTGCGTTTTTTGGTGGAGCCACTCGAGCCCGTAACCATGCGCATCGCTTTGGTCGCGTGAGTATGACTGGGTCCATTCAGATATCCGCATCTAATGTACGTATTCAGCTAATAGTGGCCTGCATCATCGTACAAATCATTATCTTCATCTACCATCTCACGGGCCCACCAAAGTCGCTATCTCGCTCATTGGGTCTGAACACGGAGCCAGATTTCTCCCATCTTGCCGACCACTGCGCCCACGTTTCCCCGATACGTGCTAATTCTTTCGTGCGGCGGCAGCAAGCGCTTGCGGAGACCCTTCATTCGCTGAATGCTTCAGCCTACATTGCCGAGCCCGGCGCGAGCGCCAGTTATTTTGCTAATCTGTCAGAGGCGCAATGGTTCCTTTCGGAACGACCACTGTTGCTTATCATCTCACCTGAGGTCGATGCTGAAGACCAGGTGAAGGCTCGTGTCTCAATATTGACGCCGGCATTCGAGGCTACTCGCGCAAAGCTGCTTTCCATTCCAAGTGCTTCTGATATATCATTTCCAGCATGGTCGGAAGACTGGACCCCTATGATGTGGCGCTGTCCGCAATTCCTCACCTGCGGGAAGGAGCAATATTCCTCGACGGGATGCTGAGGAGCTTTGTTGCGGACGGCCTTCAGAAGGCATCACCAGAGTCCAAGGTGACGCTTGCGCCTGTTGAGATCCGGCAGCTCAGGGAGAGAAAAATCGAGGAGGAGCTCAAGATCATGAAATGCGTGAATGAGGTGAGTTGCCAGCCGTACATTGAGCTTTCCAGTATCCATTCAGAAGTCATGTCAGGTCACCGTTCTAGCTATTCGTGCAGTACGCGAGAACATATACATAGGTATGCGTGTATTCGATGCTCGTCAGCTCATCGTGAAGGTGCTCTCCGCTGCCGGGCTGCAAAACCCGAGCGCCTTCACATTGTTTGGAGGTGAGATCCCGGCTGCGTTGTTTTCATTTCAAAGTCTCACTTTGGGTAGAAAATGCTGCTCTTCCTCATGGCACCGGCACGGATCGTGTCCTGGGGGCGCACGACTTTGCTTTGATTGATTGCGATGGATCACTGCACGGTTATCACAGCGACGTCACAAGAGTATGTGTCTACACTTTTTCAAGCCTCAACAGACTAATGGTGCTTTCAAGTAGATATTCGCTCTCCCTGGCTCCACGATCCATGCGGCCTACCTGAGATTATGGCATCTAGTGCATTCAGCACAGGCTAATGCGCTCAACGCCGCACGAAATGGGACAACCACTGCCGAAGTAGACCGTGCTGCGAGAGACACTCGCCGCGCAAGGCTATGCAGAGTATCTCACGCATAGGCTTGGTCACGGTACGCCATGCTTTTCGAATGAGCGGGCAAACGACTGACGACCCTGATCGCACAGGCATCGGTCTTGATGTTCATGAATCACCATAGCTGCATGGAGGCTCCTCAGATGTCATCCTCACAGGACACACATTCTCTGATGAGCCTGGTATCTACATGGAAGGGCAGGTGTGTCGACACGTATGAAATGTTCGAGATATTGGCTGATAGGATTTACGTAGACGGGCATCAGGTTGGAGGACTGTTTCTACGTAGCTGAGGATGGGAGTGCTGTTTTGCTGACCGCGGGAGTGGGTGGTGCTGCGACCAGCCCCAGCCCATGGGACCTTTGAGTCCATGACATTACCGGCAGCTCTCATTCCCCCATAGTATGCTGAATGTGGCTGCGAGGAGGGCTGTGAGGAGTGCACTCGGCAGTGTTTGCGCCGTCGATAACATAGACTAGGCTGTAATTGTAATCGTGGGAATATACTCACTATTGGAATTCGATGGTCCCACGCTGATCATGTTTTCTCGAGTCTACATTTCCTAGCCAAGTTTTTGTTGTGCTTTCACATTCCCGAGTATCCTCTGCCATTGTAAATATGCCTTCTCCAGATGAAGCCTCAACTTCTTCTTCTTCAGACCCTGCCCCAACGTTCGAGTCGCTTGGGCTGATAGATCCGCTGCTGGAGGCCGTCAAGCAAATGAACTTCAATACACCTATGGATATTCAACTCCAGTCTCTTCCACATGCTCGTCAAGGCAGAGACATCATTGGCGTAGCATCTACCAGCTCCGGAAAGACAGCTGCTTTTGCACTTCCTATCCTCCAAAAGTTATGGGAGGATCCAAAGGGTCTGTTCGCGTGTGTTCTTTCGCCCGCCAGGGAACTTGCCTACCAGATCTCGCAGCAGTTTGAGGGTCTCGGTTCATCCATGGGGGTGCGGTGTGCAACTATTGTGGGAGGGATGGACACGATGGCCCAATCGGTCGCACTAGCAAAACGGCCGCATATCGTGGTTGCTACTCCCGGACGGCTGAATGACCACCTAGAGAACACTAAGGGATTCAGTTTGAGAGGCCTGAAATTTCTGGTGAGCATCTGTGCATATCTCGTTGCCTTTGGCGTAAGGTTGACTTGTTGCCAGTAGGTTTTGGACGAAGCGAATAGATTGCTAGACATTGGATTTCGGGCCTATCATTGACAACATATTAAAGGTCATACCGAGGGAACGTACGACATACCTGTTCTGTGCAACGATGACCACAAAGGTTGCCAAGCTTCAGCGAGCGAGCTTGTCCAATTCCGTCCATATAGAAGTCTCAGAAAAGTACGTCTCTCACCGTAGCTTCCATTTGAGCAATTCTGACGGTGACATTCAGGTATTCTACAGTGTCGACATTACTGCAATACTATTTGTTCATCCCGCTAGTCCAGAAAGATGTCCATTTCATATATTTGGCCAACATCCTGGCACAAAACTCAATCATTATATTCACCCGGACCGTCCATGATGCTCAAAGGTGCGATGATTTTTCATATTCCGAAGACGCTTTGCTCATTTTTTTGCACTGTGAAGACTGTCGATTGTTTTGCGCACTCTCAGATTCCCCGCGGTCCCCTTGCATGGCCAGTTGAGCCAAAGTGCCCGTTTGGGTGCACTGGCAAAGTTGAAGAGTTGATCGCAACTGATGTCGCCAGCCGGTCAGGTCTTTGATATACTACAGCTTCTACTCTCACTCATGTTCCGCATTACAGAGGTCTGGATATCCCGCATGACGCTCGAGGCGGAGGAGCAGAATGCATTTCTTCAGGTAAGCACTATCTACTTCCTATGTCAATTCACGTGCTGCTCACACGCGTCGCAGTGGAACCCTCTTTCCTGTGTCATGGAGGTGCTGCTCTCGTCGCTATCGTCCTTCCCAACAGTGAGCGCCGGCCACTCGAATGGGAGGATCTCATCGGTATCGTCGCTCTGCTCTTCATCAACTCGGCCGTCGGTTTCTACGGGGAACGCAACACCGATAATGCTGCCAAGGCTCTCATGGATTCACTCGCGCCCAAGGCCAAGGTCAAGTGTAACGGTAGCTGGCGCGGGATTGAGTCGGCTGACTTTGTTCCTGGTAATATGATCCCTTCAAAGATCGGTGATATCGTTCCTGCAGATTGCCGTCACATTGAAGCCATCTGCTCTTACTGGCGATTCGCTCCCTCAGAGCAAGAAAACTGGCAATCAATGTTTCTCGTGAGTATATGCGCGTGGTAGCTTATCAGTTCGTGATGCTCATGTGTCACCTACAGTGGTTTAGACCTGCAAACAGAATGAAGCCGAAGGTGTAGTCATTTCTACCGGTGCGAACACCTTCGGTGGCGCCGCTTCACTCGTTGGCCAGGACGACGATACGACCGGCCACTTGCAGAAGATCCTTATCCAGATCGGTACTTGGTATCCACCGGTATCTTCGTATTCGCCGAGATCTGTCTGTTCGCCGGTTTCCGCTACCAACTACCGTCGTGGCCTGAATGATGTCCTTGTGCTCCTGATCGGTGGTATCACCATTGCCATGCCCACTGTCCTGTCTGTCACCCTTGCTGTCAGTGCGCAGAAGCTCGCCAAGTACAAGGCCGTCGTCACGACTATCACAGCCATTGAGGAGCTTGCCGCTGTCACCATTCTTTGCTTGGATAAGACGGGTACGCCGACTACGAACAAGCTCACTATCGATCACGAGAGCGTTCGTACCTACGGCCCATTCTCCGCTAAGGATGTGATTCTCCTCTCCGCCTACGCTTCCCATAACCAGGACACTATCGACGCTTGTGTCGTCAGCGCAATTGGCGACCTGAGCTGTGCACGTGACGATATCAACCTTCACAATCTTAAGCCGTTTAATCCTGTCGACAAGCGCACGGAGATCATTTACCTTGAGACGGAGTCGAGTCGCTTGAAGCGCCTCGACGCAGGGTATGACCGGTATCATCATTGAGCTCTGCACATGCAACAAGACTGAGGAGATCGAGAACTGTCTCGAGGTCAATGTCAAGGAGTTCGCGCAGCGTGGTCTCTGTGCTTTGGCTGTCGCGTACGAGAAGCTGGACGGCGATGATCTGGCTGCTGAGGGCAACGACTCCAGCTCATCGGTCTGCTTCCCGTTTTCGACCCGCCTCGTTCGGATACCAAGCAGGTGATCGATGACACTATAGCCCTCGGTGTCAAGGTCAAGATGGTTATGGTGACCAGCTGGCAATCGCAAAGGAGACTGGACGCCGTCTCGGACTGCATGAGCACATGTACCCTGCGAAGGTACTCAAGGAGGGCCCCGAGCTGGGAGGCAAGCATGCATCCCTCCACGCGATAATCCTTGACGCGGATGGTTTCGTTGGTGTCTTTTCCGAGCATAAATATGAGATCGTTAAGGGTCTTTAGGGCCTCGGACATTTGGTCGCCATGACGGGCGACGGTGCGAACGATGCGCCGGCGTTGTCCCGTGCCAACGTCGGTATCGCTGTCGAGGGCACGACGGATGCTGCCCGTGGTGCTGCGTATATTGTATTGACAGAGCCGGGTCTCTCCATACCGTCCACGCCATACACGGTTCTCGTGTGGAAGATGCGCAACAACTCAATTTATGCATGCGCGGTTACCATCCGTATTGTCACTTGCTTCGCCACTCTTGCATTTGCATTCAAGTTGGACTTCCCACCCTTCATAATGCTGATCATTGCCCTGCTTAACGATGCTTGCCACACGGTCGTTCCACGATGTGTCAGTTCCTCATTCAAGTAAAGTTCACAGAAGAAACAGGCTGTGGCATCTCGATGCTCGTCATATATTGAGCGGTGTGCTGAGTCTGCAATCCTTGCTCCCTCCACGTCGAATTCGCAGCCGCTGCTAGCAGGATGTCTTGGGAGAATGTCAAGCTGAACGACGGTAAGCTGCTGAGGATTTGCGCATTCTTGTCTGTTATTCGTTTCTGAGTCTGTTTGATAGGAACGACTATTGCGATCGGCACCTGGAAACTCGGAAAGGGGCAGATGACCATCGATAGAGTGTCGCAAGCATTCGACGTCAATTTCACCCATATCGGTAAGCCGTGGCATTCTGCTCGACTCCCAGTGCGAGATGCTGACAAGAGTATTGCCCTAGATACTGCGCAGGTATGCCGCAATGAGTCTGAGGCTGGTGCTACACTGTGTTCGAGGGGGCTCAAGCGCGAGGATGTCTACATCACCACGAAGTACTCCGGGCGTGTGGACATTGACACATCTATCACGAACAGCTGTGGATTTGTAAGTGAATGCACCTGATATGTTCTTACTGCATCGCAATGAGAGCGGCGATTGGCGCTCGATGTGGATTATGTTGATCTGTACTTGATCCATGCACCCGACCTCGCAGTTCCGGACATCCCCACCATCTCGAGGAAGATGGAGGCGATCCAGGCTGCAGGACTTACCAAGTGAGCTCGTATATAACTCTAAGGCCACAATATGCATGGTAGTGCTTACGGTCATTGCGCTTTTACCCCAGCAGCATCGGCGTCAGCAACTTCACGGTTCCAGACCTGAAGACGTTGCTTGACTCGGCAACGGTCAAAGCGGTGGTCAATCAGGCGAGCATAGGGTCTTCCCTTCCCATTTACTTTCAGATCCCTCCACCTCGATTCGCTGGATTCTCTTCCACCCTTACGTCCTCGTTCGCCAAGCTCCCATTGTGGCCTTCTGCTTGTCACATGGAATTGTCAGTGAGCCTACAGTGTACTGATGTACGTCTTCTTCCATCCATCCGTCCATCCCTCTGAAAATCCAAAGGTTTCTTCATATAAGGGACCGTCTTCGCTGCGGCGGATCAATCAATCAACAGCCCGGGGGGATCTCGACGCACCTCTGAAGTCTATCTCCGAGCAGCTCAATGTACAGCTGGAGCAGGTCTCTTCTCGCGTGGGCAAAGGCGAAAGGCATTGTGGTCGTGACGTATGTGCCTGAACACCGCGCTTGCAACGATATTGACTGTGGGACTGTGGGTGCATAGCTCGAGCACAAAGCGACAATGTCTTGAAGGGTGTCTGAAGGCGGGTTGCTTGAGGTCAACGACCTGAACTCACCTATTATGGGCTCGCTCAATCAACCCGACAAACGGTTCGCGCTCCCAGGCGAGCCTAATGAGCCATATGACTACTGGCTCGCCACACTCGATCTTTTCGAGAGCAGCGAGAACCTCCCGAGCCAGACCGGCAGACTCGGGCTGACCTTCAGCTTTTCGGACATCGCTGAGGACTGGCGCATGGCGATCACCTGGGGGCGCACGCTCGTCAGTCTTGCCGATGTTAAGGTCGAGCACGCGGGGGCGCTTGCTCGGCAGGGCGCACCCGTTGTCGAGTACTCACTCGACTCGCCATTCGCCACTTCAGCATGGAATGCCTCTCTTTGCTCACGCCGTAACGTTATGCTTGTCACACACAGGCGGCTCTCTCTGTAATATGTTTCCGGTCGACGCTGATGAGCATCGCGATGTCTGATATGCAGTGATGGGCTTATGTCATGTTCTATACAGTGACGCGTGTTGATCAATATCTGCTAGTTTGACTATATCTTCCAACTCGATGGTACGACTGAAGTTTGCCTGTTGACCTCTGGTTACAGTGTGGACGATGGGCTGACGGTGATCCGTTCTTATTTTTTTCCCAACTGCCATTGCTGATTGCGCAGGTGTGGCTGAACACCAACGCTATACATCTCACATTCATCCAGACTTAACTCATGCTCATTCTACACACTGGGTACTCGATTTTTTTTCGCTGCGACATTCTGTATGATATGCGGATGATATTGACGGCGCGCAGCGGTAGTCGTTACCGACTATGCGTACCTGTCCAGTTCGTCATTTCGCTTTTTGCAACACTCCTCGAGGACATGGTCGCCTAGGTCCCACTTGGCTTTTAGGCTGCTGCCGCAGCACCTGCACTGGGAGGCGGCGGAGGCGATGGCGGCGGGAACCCAGTGGTTAATGATTCAATGTCCACCTGATTCCCCAGTGTGGGGCACACATGTACATGGTGCTGTGATATGGTGTAAGATCAGTACATGGTAAAGCTCACAGTACAAAGAAGCAGTTACTTTGATTAGACGAGGATACTTAAAAGTAGCACCACAACGATGACACTGGAAGACACGTGATGTCCCCATTCGGTTGATATATGTTGGGTGGGGAATGTCGCGATAGCGTACAACAATGACATTAGTGTGATGTCATTGAACATGGTGCGAACGCCGTTCGTCAGTCCATCAGAAGCATACTTCGCAGTACCACACTGGGCATGGTGGAATTGGCTATAGAAAAGGTTAGCTAGATCCGAAATGATCTCACTGGACTTCAGGCACAGTGCATGTACGCACATTGGAATGCGTGCGTGAACGGCGGACCATGAGTTCGGAATGAGCAGCTGCTCGGAAGATTGAGATGTTACCGCCAGTTCTTATACAAGACAGTCACTTAGTCATTTTCAGTCGCATCTTTTTCCAAGTAGATAGATGCCTTACCTCAGACGTAAAATAACAAACACTAACATATAAGAGCCAACAAAAGCAGTCGGCGGAGCAGCTCATGCATTCGTAGAAGCGTTCACATCGCAAACGACTTCCATTACGAGAGCTCCTGTTATCATATTAAATGCTAATCGTACGTCAACCCAGCTCCGATTGGAGAGGCCGCCACTCACACACGAACAAACTAGTACCAACCTGACTCACCTGACAAAAGGAGTCAGAATGATGGCTCCACCCAACAAGTTGTAAATAAGGAAGAAGATTGAGTTGAACTGTGTGACGTTCATCTGAGGTTGTCGTCCTTTCCCCAGGAGACTGACTGCAGCCGTCGTGACATCAATCCACCCTTTGAGCGAGACGATCTCGAAGAGGATGAACAGAGACGCTCGGAAAGATATCGAACGAGGATGTAATTGATGGAGAAGGTCATTGGAAAAGGGTCCGTCAGACCCTCGGAACGAGAAATCCAATTGCCGTAGATCATGTTGCTGTATTCATCGATACATTGACTTACCATGTGTCAAGGACATGGGAGACACCGGAAATTATGAGAGACTCGAAGGTAGTATGCATTTGGTCAATCAGCATTACGAGTCGAAGGGCACGAGTGACACTGAGGCCGCCAATGAAGCTTGAAGATCAGTCCAGTGATGACGTTTGTGAGGAGACCAGCCATCACAAGGAGGTTCCGGATGCTCCGCACACATGCATTCGGTCTGAATACAGACCGGTCTGCGATGCCTTTGATAACAAACTCGAAGAAGAGCGTGAGGCTGAATGCCGTCTCACTGATATTATATCACGACCAGTGACGTTACACCGTGCGGCAGCTGTCAGTTGCGAGAAAGAGGAAAAGCTGGAAGATGGGATGGACAATGGGGTGAAAACAGTCAGAATGTCTTATCATAGGTGGGATGGCCGCAGATGAAATCAACCTGGCACGTGTGATGTTTGTACAAGTAGTCTGTGAGATCCTCCAAGATCGGTGACATCATCGATGTACAGACTGCTGCTCGGTTTCCTCGTCCATTGCATCCTGCGCCATGACCGAGTCTCGTCGGCCATTGCACATTGAAGCTTTGAAGTGTCAGTGAGATGTGCCAGATCACCAGTAAGCGGCGTACTTGTCAGCTGTAGCTGTCGAGAACGCCATTTATGCCATGCACGTGTGTTCAAGAAGCCATCGATGAACGCCTTAGGCCATGACGTATAAAGCTAACGGCTAGCACTGCCAACTGGGGAACAAGTGTAGGGAGGGTTTCTATGGACAGAGCAGCACTGACACCCAGTTTTGCATGATCAATAGTAGTAGTAGCCCAGGGACAACGCAGAATCGAGACGAGATTCTGAAGTCGACCAGGCTTCGCATGATGTATGAGCGGGATATTTGACTTGTGAATTTAGCTTCGAGTTCGTTCGATTGGCCAGTCGACTTCAAGCGCCAAAAATAACCTCGTGCCCAACGCGTACCGGTGAAACGGTATTAGTAGGGCCGTAAACAGGCAAATGTTTTCGCAATTAAGATGTCGCAATTTGTGAGAGCCCGGCATCGCCTTCGTCTTCAGGACTAGGCTCGCTCGTCCCAATGCATCGCTGATGGCACCCGATAGGCACTCCATCGACCTCATCTTGCTCATCGAGCCAACAGAGGCCGTCACGGAGCAGCAAATTGTCTAATGCAGTCTTGCAGTCCGAGCACGCTCCATTGTCCAGCCCTTACGCTTGACCAGGAGCTCATCCGACACCCGCCCACCCTCTTCCTGAGCAATGCAGCACGATCGCTTGGTTAGCATCCAGCTGCTTCGACATGCCCCACACCATCTTCTTCTCCCCTCCCACATCGGTGACGTCCTATCCCGCGGCAAGGGGCCTCAGTGTGTTGATGCTCCTTATGATGTCCTCTTCCGTAATCTCGCCGCCGCTCACGCCACGCAGCTTGCTCATGAGGTGTATAAGCTCACCCATCTCGATGAGCCCGCCGTAGCGATCGCGCGTGCTCACACACACATCCACGATCTGCACGCTGAGCTCGTACTGCCAGTCGCCGAGGTTGAGCCCACCCACCAGCTGCCCTTGCGTGGGCCCGCGAGCGGTCGACGCCGATCGACGTACACATGCGCTGAAAGGCATGCCGGAGCTATGGATCATTCCTGATGGAGTCGCGGTGTATGGTAGCACAGTGGGAGAGCACACTGCAAAATTGGGTGAGCTGTGCATGAAGTTGCAGGCTTGAGCAAATTGTGGCTCAATAATTATTTTCATTTTGGGCAGCTATCCTTGATCAACTGCCACCGTGATCTGCACATTGTCTTCAGCTGCCTTTGGCTCTTCTTGTCGGTCAATTTAGCCTGGTCATGAGCCGCGTTGCTCATCGTGTGTCTATGCACCTCTGAGGAGGAGTCGGGGTGGCCGTCTTTGAGCGGCAGAAGCAACACGAATGCTCTTTCGCTGAACTATCCACGGGAGATCTCACAGGCAAGTCGACCTCCTCGAATGAGAAGCCATGGATTCTGCCTGTCATAAAGAAGGTGGGTCATGCTCTCACCATCCCATCCACTAAGCTCTCCGTTCATTTCCCCTTCACACTCCACATCATTGCCGTCACACCTTCTCAACCTCATGACCTGCTGCTTTGGCTCGGCGACTAACGTATTGCTGCGGTGCCTGTAGGCGATGGAGATGCTCTTGAATGATCCAAACTTGGACCACGAATACTTGCCGATCACCGGTCTCCCAGAATTCACGAATGCCGCTGCACGACTAGTGCTGGGCCCCAACTCGCCTGCCATCATGGAGAACCGTGTCTCGAGTGTGCAGACGATATCGGGGACGGGCGCCAACCATCTTGGAGCACTGTTCTTGAGCCGGTTCTACCACTGGGTGGAGGGCACGCCGAAGGCCGCATACCTGAGCGATCCCACATGGGGTGGGTGCATCCTTTCAATTACGTATTCTGAGCTCACCTATGTGTATCTTTTTACGTCTGCGCGTGTGCTTATCGGAATCATTTAGTGAACCATTTCCAAATTTTCAAGGGTGTCGGCATTGCGCCGCTCACATATCCGTATTACGACCCCTCGACGATCGGCCTTGCGTTCGACGCCTTCCTCACGACGGTCCGGACTGCACCACCGAAGTCGGTGTTTGTCCTCCACGCGTGTGCTCATAATCCTACTGGTGTGGATCCCACACGAGTGCAGTGGGGTTTGATCGTGGACGCTGTGCTGGAGCGAGGCCACTATGCGTTCTTCGACTGCACATACCAACGCTTTGCCAGCGGTAACCTGGATCGGGACGCTTGGGCGATTCGGGAGTTTGTTAGCAGGGGTGTGCCGATGTTGGTCTGCCAGGTATGTTGCGCATGTATGCGGAGAAGTCTGGCGAGCTTATGACGGCGTCTCGCTTTTGGCAGAGTTTCGCGAAGAATGCTGGACTGTATGGGGAACGTGTAGGCACACTGCACATTATTTCGCCGACACCAGAAGCTGCGCTTCGAATCAAGAGTCAGCTGTCAGTTCTGACGCGAAGCGAGATTAGCAGCCCACCCGCGCACGGTGCCCGCCTGGTGCGACGTTTTTAATTCTTTGTGGGCGTTTGAGCTTGCTGACATTGTCATGTGGGGATGCCGTGCGATATCGTAACTTGTCACTCCACTGTTCGTGCGACATGAGCAGATGGCGCTCATCATGAATAATGCAAAGCTGTTTGAAGAGTGGAAACGCGATATCAAGACGATGGCGGAGTGTGTCATCGCGATGCGAAAGGAGCTGCACTGGCTGTTGACTGAAGAGCTCAAGACGCTGGGCAACTGGGATCACATCGTGAACCAGATTGGCATGTTCAGGTGAGTTTTCGGCATTCGTCCGGGGCGTTGGCATGCAAGCATGTTGGAAGACGTGTGGCTACCACGTTGGGAGGATCATTGCCCGAATACACTGGGCCATGGTGCACATGGTGATGGGCACGTGCATTGGAGCATCAGCGGACAGGCTTGCCATTCGTGGGCCGAGGCTTCGATTCAGCCCGAGTGCTAATTCTCCAGAGTGGAGTCCACGGTGTACGTCTTGTGGAAGCACGGAGCAGCTAGACCACGTTACGATGAGGGAGCTGCACCTGGAGACTCACGGAGGGCATGCGGGAACGGGCTATCATGTGAGGTGATCCCATGTGCCTTGCTTGGTGTGGGGGGACGTTTTGGGTGAATTGGACGCCAGAGGTCATTGGCCGCGGGGCTGGTCATTGGTAAGCTGCGCAGAGCCAATCATGATCAGCCGGCAGGTTCCGGCTGATCCGGCGGCAGTGGATATCAGGCCCGAACGTGTTTCGGACACGCAATGTCCATCCGCGGCAGTGCCGAGGGCTGTTCTGCGGCAGTTACACGGGGACGCTGATTGACAAGGTGCACATCTATGGATCTTGGAACATTATGTCGCTTGTCTCCATGCGTTCAACATCAATGTAATACTAGAACACGCATTCTTCTAGTGAATTCGAGTGACTGTAGCGTTCTGGGATATATGGTCTGACACAAAGATACAACGACTACATCCTTATTATGACCAGAAGAGGGACAGCTTCTCAGGATGATGCCTCCTCCTGTTTCGCAGCTTCTACTGCAGAATGAGCCGCTCCGGGTGGCGCCACGCCATCCACATTCTCTTCCGCAGCGGGCTGTGCATTCTTGCCCTTGCGCGTGGAGGCGGATGGTACACTTTTTCCTATGGCAATGGTGTCTCATCTGGGTCCTTCTGAAGTGCATACCTTCTTTTTCTTCTTATCCGGCTTCACGTTAGATCGGGGTAAGCCAACTGCTCGACCTTTCGCCACTCCTCACTCTCCCTAAAGGTCTTCTGAACAGGCTCGAGCAGGCGCACGATCGCATCTGCCACCGCCGTCTTCACAATCCTTCAGGTGTACCTTCTTCTCCGGAAACTCCTGCTCGAGCTGCGAAAAGTTCTGGCAGTGCAACGAGCCTCCGTACTCCTCCTTCCTAAAGACGCTAAACACGGTGCCCTCCGGCGCACCAGGGAGCGCGAAGTGCGTCTGGTTGCCGAGCGCCTCCATGCCTTCGTCCGCGTCTGCACCGGTGTCGCCATGAATGTGCTCGAGGTGCATCTCGCTGATCGGTATGAGCACAGCCTTCACGAACGCGAGCACGCCGTTGTCTGCCGCGTTGCCCTCCTCGCAGAAGGCCTTCTTGATCTTGCACCACACGACGTCGGGCACGTCGAGGAAGTCGATTTTTGAGTCGGGGTCCGAGGAGGACATCTTGCCCCCGCCGAGGCCTGGCACCATCGGGTTCATGAGGTGCGCACGCTTCGCGTAGCTGAGGCATGGGAGGTAGAGCTCGGCGAAGGTGAAGATCTTGCGCTGTGGCGGAACACGCATTATAGCCGCGGTTGGACAACGTGAGGAGGAAGAGACCATGTACCTGGTCGACACCACCGAATTGAAAGTCACAGCCGAGGTGCTCATCCAGCGCTTGCAGACCCGGGTAGAGCGAACCACTCAGCAAGGGGCTCTCTACCTGCTTCACAACCTCCGCATCGGCCTTCTTGGCGTCGTGCTCCGTGACGAAGTGATTTGAAGACGGTCAAGAGGACAAGTTGGTAGAATCTTGTGCGGTAGGCGACGAGTTCGAGTGGTGCTTTGAGGTTGTCGAGGAATGCGTGAACATCTGTTGGGAGGGTCAATAATCATGCGCGGTCATCATCGGATTGGAAACGATGATACTTATTGGTAGTGATAACATACTAAGTCTTCACCCAGGTTGTCCAAGGCCGCGCTTTTGAGCCCAAGCTCGGCCAAGCTGAGCCCGGCCGAGCGCCGAGCTCAAGCCCTCTCTAGCTGCCATACAGGCCGGCTTCCAATTGGGGAAAGCCCGAGCTCTCCGTGGTCACGTGACTCTTCGTAGATTTTGCTTGGGTACGACGCAAGCAAAACTTCTCTCATCCTCCTGGCTGCACTGTTCGATGCACCCTGCTCCAGAATGACTATGGAGATCTGCCCCCGGAACTACGGGTCATATCTGTGCAGGTTCTGCGTCAGTAGTTTCTCATATCTCAAAGGATGTGTCTGTGCTATATGTCTTTACTTTCAGTTCCACCGACTAAAATTCCGACGGACATGCTGCTTTGACTGCATTGCAACTCATTGGGTCAGCTTGTGAGTTCCTTCCTTGATTGAACACTTTTCCAGAATTGCTATCACGATGCATGTGGTGTTCGCAGTCCACTGCCTCCGAGGAAGTGATAGATGCCAACAAATGCATTCGAAATGCGATCTTTTTGTCTGTGCCTATGTCAACTCCGTTAGGGAATGAAAGGATCTACTATCCCTGTCCATTCACATGTTACCTTCAAGCTGTCGGCATTCAGGGTGGATCTCTGCTCTGGTGCTCACGGGGTTTTCGTGGCATCGTCAGCTCACCATCTCCTCGATGTGTCAATACATCAGTGCCGTTTCTTGTCGTTGCGATGTCAACGCATGATGTACTTTTCCTCCAGACTGTGATGACAGTGCATGATAGCACGACTGCACATTTATATTGAGGCTCCAACGTTGGACGTCCTCACCTGTATATTGTGGTATGAGGTGTTTGGAACTGTAGTGATTGGTGAAAGGCGCATCAGTGCCTGACAGTGTCCCGTCAGTGTGGCCTACAAGTATGAATGCAGAATGTGCCACTCCAAAAGGCCACCTTAGCTCGAGTTATCTTGAATCCGCCGTCTTTCCTATACAATGCTTCACATGCTAATCCATATCAACCCGCAGTCATCAGACCCATAAGCTTCATCCCATCTGGGATCTACCCATGTTCCGCCAAATGTGCTGACCAACTCACACTGTGCACCGAATGTCTTAGTCACGTACCCCGCAACTTTTCATCTGCATTCTCATCAACCATCCTCTTCCCATGCAAGCCACTCTGTCTGCCCCTGCATCACTTCCTCAACGCTATCCACTTGCGATTGATTGACGACATCGCCGCTGAAACTATGCTCAAGCCTCATAGTCGACGCGCGACGTGCCCCAGGGACGGCTTCCTTTTCGGCCCTTCTCCCGCAGTGTCTGAATCTGAACGGGGCGCAGGCTGGGAGCATCGCGCGCAAGGTCGCCCGCTTATACATGTACACTTGGATGTGCAACTCGCCCATCATCATATCTGCCGCTCAGTCTGATCTTGTTCCAGACTCAGGTCCTCATGCTGTCTCTTGCCGCTCTGCACACCATTGAGGCCTCCAGGGTCAGCTGGTGGCAATATAGGCAGCAGCGCAGTACCGATATTTGTACCAACGCCCGTCTCGCCCACTGCCATCATGGGGGCTTCCTCGGCGAGAGCAAAGATGCTCGTGAAGGAGATTGTAGAGAATGTCCTGTGGGCAGACACCTGGAGGGTCAATTTGTTCGTATCCGGAACTTCTGCGAGGACAGCTACGGATGTGTGGCAGGCCAATGTTGTGTCTCCGTTAGATGGTACTGGAGCGATGCAAACATCTATCAGCCTCCGTGCATTGTGTCATTCCGGTATGCTCTCTGCAGAATCAGCTTTTTTTGTGCTGATTTGAGGCAAGCAGGTCATTCTAGTCACGTGGACATTTCTAAGAGCACGGCTTTCTGCTTGTTGGAGCTGCCCATGCTTAGCGTCGGGAAATCTAACACTGTGATCCAAGTCATGCCATGCATTACGATTATTGGAAAAGCTTGGCCTTGGACCTTGTGCCGGCAAGAAGGATGTCACTGCGTATGTCTTCTTTGAGGCTCCAGGAGAGGAAAGAGATGGTGAGGTAGGCCGGTGGCTGGCCAAGGTCTCTGCGACATATGCAGTAAGTTCCTCGCCTGTAGTGAACCGGCCATCGTTTCTAAATTTTGATGATATTTTGCATCAGGCTTGGAACTATGCAGTATGTATGCCTGGAAGTACAAACAATCCGCCGAAGCCTGGCCTGGTCCCAGTGCGTCTCGAAGAACTCAAAAAGTCATAGGGTCCATAGTTTATGTCATATTGATGCCTCACCATTACTCATACTCTTTTAGCAAGCTACGAACATTGCACTGTAATTATAGTATTGTCAAGCTGGTGATTGGGCGTTTCTGCAAGAGCTAAGTTTGAGTGACCGGGAGACGAGTATCCGAGCATATGGACTCCGAGCAGGCTAGAATCTTCCGAGCAAGCAGGTGCAGTGTAGCAGCAGACAAGATACTTTGTGGTCGCAGGTTGCAAAGGGCACGCGGTTGGCGAATCTGGCACAATGGAACGCAAGGCCAGGCACGTGAGAGACGGAATCAAGCCTCTGACCATCATTCCTTTGCCTCGCCTCCAACATGTCGTTTTCCTCCATAACCTGGATCTACCCGCCGGAGTCTTTCTCACATTTAGTGCATATCTCGGCCTAATACACGTCATGCTAGGTTTTGCTGTATTTTTCTCAGGTCATTCGGACATCCATGGCTGTCACGGTCCATTTGCTTTGAACAATATAGAGTACCTTGCGAAGCAGATACCCTCTTCTCTTCTGTCCGTTGACATCGCCCAACCGCCGGAACCACTCCCAGTGTGCTCTCTGCCATGCCCGAATGCACCGCTTCTTCAGACACTGTTCGGGGGTACCTGACTGCCCAGGAACACACTGCTTGATGGGTCAATGCCCACTTGCCAAATGGTGCGAGTGCAGAGTTCCTTTCACCGTCACATCCACTGTCTATCCTCGATGACTCGGACGCACCTAGCCATGGCCCTATGGGCCAGATTCTGATGACGAAAGCAGCCACTGGTTGCCACCATGGATGGTCTTACATTACGGGGGTGACAAGTCAGATATATCCATATCTATGAACTACGAGGGCTCTCACTCGCGGACGGGATCAAAGACATATGTTGCCGCACATGGACGTTCGAAATCGAATTCACATGTACAGGATCACCAGAGCAAAACGTCAAAGACTCAGGTATCCTTCACACAAAATTCCTCTCATACGACGCGAGTCATCCTTCCAATCCACCGCAAGGAGAGGATCCCTACACACCTCCTCACTCTTCAGAAAATATTATAATTCTTGCATCCTGTCAGGAGAGCGAGGCCCAGCAGCCCACGTGTGAAGGCCCACAGGCAGCGCAAAGCCCGTCTCACAACTCCCCGTCTGATTCTAGATCGCATTCGCAATCTCTAGCGGGTGCACCAGGATCGTTGTCGCTGCAGGGCGAACTCCCTCCTCTGCCACAGCAAATTCCGAATGCTCTCCAATTGGCGTCGCGCTCGCCGTCTCACAATGGCTCCCAGCAAAGGTGTGATGGCCCCATCGCCAATGTGTGCTTTCGATCAGACACGAGTCCCTCTCCCGGTCGGTCTGCTACCGATGGTGTATTCTCACTCATGGTCTCCCTCCCTCCCATATGTCCTGCCAACCTCCTATGTCTCTAGTGCACGCTCTGTAACAGCACAATCTCACTTGCCCTATACATACCACCCACCAGCAATTGTCTATGCCACTTCATCGAAGCATTCTAAGTCACACTACAGCCCTCCTGCGATTGTGTACTCTCCATCGGCCACCCAAGCCCCTCACTCTTGCAAGGCACCTACAACCGCATACAGTCATTCTGCACCTGTTCCCCAGCGATCTC